AAGTCAACCTCGATGGGTCGTTCTTCTGAAGTAATGCGTAGATCACATGAGATCTTAGCCAATGGTGCAGGGCAGGCAGCGACGACTCGACTGTCTGTGCCAGCGAGACCATTCTCTGCCTCCATGCAACTATTTGACCAGGTGGACCGTCGTGACCAATCGCTCAAAAAGTTAATGAGTGTCAGCAGGGTAAGGGAAATATTTGCGATGAGCCCCCTAGCGCTGGCCCGGAACAGGTCAGTGCTAAGCCATCGTCACGGATGATTCGGCGTGTTCTTGGCAAATTCACAATCTTTGCCCCGTGAGCAAGAACCTGTCTCTGTGAACGTCTTGCGCGGTTTGTCATTCCCTTCTCCTTTGCCTTTACCTCGGTTCTCTCCCACGACCTTTGCTCGAACCCCTACTTCTTGGGGCACTAGCTGGAGACGCTTCTGTAGCATTTGCTGTTGCGGAAACAGCTTGCCGAGTAGTTCTCTGGTATCCTAAAGACTTACCAGCCTTAAGCTGTGCCTCTTCAAACTTATCACGTCTGATCTTTCCTGCATCGGTCAAGCCTCTGCGCTGCCTATAACAGCCATCCTGGGTGCCCTTGCAGTTTCGAAGATCACGCGACCGGGCATAACAAACCATAGTGCTTTGTTTTTTCGAGGCCACCGACGGGGTCCTCGTCCGCGACTGCGTCGCGTCGAGTTGCTGAACTTGTTCGATGGTGCTGAAGAGCGAGGCCGAGATTTTCCTCTCGGGCCTCTGCTCGCGGATCGATTATTCTCACCGTTGCGATCAGTCTTTCTGCCAACACTTGGGGGTGGATTCATGTTCCGATAAGGCCCACTGTTCTGTCTCGCATCATAAGAGACTCAGCCTGAAGCAACAGCCATTGAATGGTTCTCAGTCCTGTGCCTGGAGGAGCAGTGGGCAAATCATACCATTGCAAGGCGCAATGAATCATGGGAGCCTGTCGTATCTGCTCGTAAGCATGAGCACGCATCAAAGCCTTCATTTCATCCGATGGTTCGCTGGCACCATGCAACTCTTGGTATCGTTCTATCCGTTCACTATAGAAGTAATGCAAATCCATATCGGGCTTCTGCCGATCAATGGTGAATTTGAAGAGATCTCGGCATATCCTATGTTGCCCGCTCTCAGACCTGACAGAACACCAAACGCAAATAGCTCGCATCATCTCACGCCCCGTTAAGAGACGGCCTTCTATCTGGCACGAATGTTCCATGCGATTGATTTGCGATAGAAGATGCGTGCGTTAGACCGATAGACGCTGATTGCGTTTCATCTTCGCAGACTTCTCCAATACCTTTATCGCCATCACCATAGCGAGACGCATCACTCCCCCAGAGTCTCTGAGAGTCTCATTAGGCACATTGGGATTCATTGCTTCGCTGACCCATGTTTGCGCTGCGTGAACATCATGCCACGATCAAACTGCAGCTCTGATGCAATGCTGCACCCATTCTCGAAGGGTCTCAATGCACGGCATATCGAGCAAAATCAGTTCTTCATTGTTTGCACAACTTCCCCAATTGATGTCCATTGGGTTGACGTGAGAAGATCGCCATGCGGGGTCGTCTCGATGATTTGGTCCCCCACTGCCGTCTCCGTCTGGGTCGCCATCATCACCCGGCCCACTGGAGGGCCTCTCGGAGGTTTGGACCTACCCGTCTCGTCCCACTGCAATGCAACAATCATTCCTGCGCTGGGAGCTGTGCTCTGGCCATCCCTCTGGTCGTCGTCTTGACCTCCCTGGCCCGCGCCGCCCCCGCCCGCAGCGGCTGCGCCGACGATGAAAGGATGGCGGCTCGGTAAATCAAGAGCATTCGGATGACTCGGCATCTTTGCGTTAGAAGGGGCATTCCCAGGATTGACTCCTCGCGCACCCTCAACTACTGAAGCCCCCTCAACAGCTGGCCCAGGGACGAAGTGCGATTTCGCGAAAGAAAGCGCGGGCATTGACGGAGAGGTTAGCAATGGTATTTTGTTGTGGCTCTACTTCTCTAATTCGAAAAGCGGCATTCCTCTGGCATTCAGGCTTATCATCTCTGAGAAGGCCGAGTGTCTCGGCGCCTTCCCGACAGGGTCGCTGCTTGGGAAACGCCAATTCCTGTAGCTGTGCGACCCAAACGAACTGCGAATCGACCTCTGGTAATATGATATTATAATAGGTTTGACACACGTGGCACATATAGGGGCGTATACGAATTTCGTTGTACACGTGCACAATCACACTCAAACCTACGACGCCGACGCCTCAGGAGAGGGCGCCGACGCCTTAGAACAGGGAGAGACGGGGGAGGGAAAGGGAGGGAGGGAGGGAGGAGGAGGGAGGCGGAGGAGAGGATGAGGAGGAGAGGCGACGGAGAAAGGAAAGGGGGAGGAGGAGGAGGAGGGGAGGAGAGGAGGAGGGAAGGCGAGGAGGATTATGATGATGATGAGGAGGAGGAGGAGGAGGAGGAGGAAGAAGATGATCAGGAGAAATAGGACGGAGAGGAAGAGAGGATGATGCGTGTCCTCGAGTCCTCGAGGGAGGCGGAGGAGCAGAGGAGGAGGGGAGGACTGGGGGGAGAGGAGGAGAGGAGGAGGAGGGGAGGAGGAGGAGGAGGAGGAGGAGGAGGAGGAGGAGGAGGAGGAGGAACGCGCGAGGACTCGCGAGGACGCGAGAACCATTCCCACCATCGGCACCATCCCCACCCGCCAGTTTTCGAGCTGAGCCCAGCCGTGGCGAACCGTCGATCGATCGTCGGGTCATCGGGTCATCCGTCGTGGAAATCGAGGCGGACCCGGACCCAGCGGTGGCGACGCGACGAACATGGTCCTCGCGTCCTCGCGGTCCCTCCTCCTTCCTTCCCACTCACCATCCTCATCCTCATCATCCACGTCCACTTCGCCATCTCCCGCATCCAACCTCTTCCTCCTCTCCTCCTCATCCTCCTCCTCATCCTCATCTTCCTTCTCCACATCCTCCCTCATCTCATACATACACTCCTACACCGCTTCGTATCGCCTCGCATTTTTTAGTCATCCTGAGTCATCCTCGTCTCCTCGTCCTCCTCAGCTCCGTCAGTCATCCTCGTCATCCTTATTCCCCTTCGTCCTCGTCCTCCCTTTCTCCACCCCCCCATCTCATACTTCCGTCATCCCCTCCTCCGCTTGCTCATCCTCATCCTGATCCTCAGCCTAGCCCCCCACTCCGCGCGCGCGCTTTCGCGCGCGCGTGCCCCGGCGCGGGCTCGAGCGGCCCTCCAGCCCCAGCCCTCCGCGGCGGGCGCGGCGCCCGCCAGGCCCGCGGCCGTCCTCGCGGCGGGGGGTTGGGAGGGGAGCTATGAGAATGAGAGCACGACCACGAGGAGGGGGAGGGGGGAGAGGATGAGGAGAGGATGCGGCGGAAAGGAGGATGAGGAAAGGAGGAGGATGAGGATGAGGAAAGAATGAGGAATGCGGAGGTGTGGGACAGTGGAGGATGATGGGGATGACGACGACGACGAAGGATCATGTGCACTCCTCAGGACACGAGGACGGGAGGGGAGGAGGAAGCGAAGGCGGAGGAGGGAGGAGGAGGACGACGACGAGGGACGAGGACGAGGAGACGAGGACGAGGAGTAGGACGAGGAGCGAGTCGCCTCCGAGTCACCAAGTCATCCTCCATTCCTCCATCATTATCCTCTCCTCACTCTCCTCATCAATCATCCAACTCAGTCCTCCGAGTCATCCGCTCCTCATCTCATCCGCCCCCCCCTCCTCCTCCTCCTCATGCTCGTCATCCCCCCCCTCATGCCCTCATCCGCCTCCTCGCCCTCCTCTTCCGCGTATTCCTCCTCATCTCCTCATCCCCTCCTCCGCGCCATTCCTCGTCCCATCTTCCCTCTGACTCATCCTGATTCCCCAGCCTCCTGGCGCATTCTGCATTCTGCCTCTCTCCTGTCACCCTACCCTACCGTTCCCGCCATCGCCCCCTCATCCCTCGCGCCCCCTACCCCCTACCCTACCCCTTCCACCCCCTCCCCCGACACAGTCGTTCTTTCTCAGTCCCTCCTTCTCGCCGCCACATCCTCTCATACTCTCATCCCTCCTAGGCTCTGAGGTCCGTCGACCAATCCTGTCCCCTGGCGGAAGGCACGGCGGAAGGTCGGGGCGCAGACGAGGCGCGCACCCCAAACGCCTGAGAGGCGAACAGCAGCCGCCGCCCGGCGACTCCACCACAGACGGGGCTGACTGCGCCACGAAGCAAAACACCGTGGGACTGGGACCGTGGTCGTGGCTGCCTCGACTCCCCGACTCCCACCCTCCTACCCTCCTACCCTCCTCCTCCTCCTCCTCCTCCTCCTCCTGTCCTTTCATTCCCCCTATGGACCTCGCGCTCCTCGCCATCTCGTCCTGAGCCCACGGGCCCACGGGCAGGTGGCGCGCGCGCGGCCGTGCTGCCAGCCCCGACTGGCGCAGCCCGCGCCGCACTGCGTCATTGTGAATTTCGAATCGCACGAATTCACTACATCACTACACTCTTGCTGTTTGACAAACCGTCCTCCCCGACTCCTCGACTCGCCGACTCGCTGTGACTCGTCGTGTTCGTATTCCTCGTCGGTGCTGTCGGCGTCGAGTCGGAGGGTCGAGGGCGGGGTTGGCCGCCCAGGCCAATGCGGGAGGCCCCCAGGCCAACCTAAACTCGCGGCCAACAGTCGCCAGTCGCCAATCCACCCGACCGCGCGGGGCGGGTCGAGTGGCGGCGGCGTCGCGTCGTCGTCACGTCGTCGTCATCTCGTCGTCGTCGCAGTCGTCGTATCGTCGCATCGTCGTCTCGTCGTCTCGCAAGTCGTGCCGTCGAGCACTCGAGCACTCGAGCACTCGAGCAGCTCGAGCAGCTCGAGCAGCTGGGCAGCGGGCGGGCAAGCAGGCAAGCACTCACTCACTCACTCACGCAAGTGCTTGTTATCCTTCTGCTTCGTGCTCCTGCCGCTGGCGGCCGCCGCCGCCGTTGCATCCCGCTGCACCAGACCAGCGGGCGGGTGCTCCGAGATGAAGAGCGCCGCCGCGGTAGGCCCGAAGAGCGACGTCGCGTCCGCCGGGGGCGCGTTCGTGTGCTGCTGCTTCGTCGGCCTCTTCTTGGGCGGCAGGTCTGAGGCCACCTCGGCGCGATTCAGCCCCGAGACAGATGATCCAATGAAGGCGGGCGTCGGCACGAGCTTGCGCACCGAGGAGGAGGAGGGGGAGGAGGAGGGGGAGGAGGAGGGGAGGGGCGAGAAGGAGGAGGAGGAGGAGGAGGAGGAGGAGGAGTAGGAGGACGAGGGGGCGGGGGGGAGGAGGAGAGGAGGGAGGGGAGGAGGGGGGCTGAGGGGGGCTGAGGGGATGAGGGGAAGGATGAGGAGGAGTGAGGAGAGGAGAAGGGGATAAGGGGATAAGGAGAAGTAGCAGAGGAGGAGGAGGAGGAGGAGGAGGAGGAAGAAGAGTCGGAGTCGGAGGAGGAGGGAGGAGGGAGATGAGGAGAGGAGGAGGAGAGGAGGAAGAGGGGAAGTGAGGAAGTGGATGAGGGGGAGGAGGAGTCAGGAGGAGAGCGAGGAGGAGGTGGATAGATGGATAGATGAGGAGGAGGAGGATGAGGAGGAGGAGGAGGAGGAGGAGGAGGAGATGAGGAGCTCGGAGAGGAGGAGATGAGGAGGGGGGGGGGGGGGAGAGGGAAGGAGGAGAACGAGGAGAGGCGGGGGGCCGGGGGCTCGCAGCGGGGGCGGAGGAGAAAATAAAGAAAGAGAGAGCTCGGGCCGATGGGGAGGGGGAGGAGGAGGAGGAGGAGGAGGAGGAGGAGGAGGAGGAGGAGGGAATGTGAGGAAAAGGAGAGAAGGAGGAGGAGGAGGAGGCGGAGGAGGAGGAGGATGAGGCCACCTTGAGCCCGACATCGGAAACCGTCGGGAGGTGCAGGTGGGACGGCAAGGTCACCCTGACCGTGGTCTCGATCATCTTGAGGTTGGGCACGATCTCAATCCCATCAGCAGTGTGCGTGTTGGTGTTCACGAGCCACGCGGGGCACGGGCACTCGTCGCTGATGGAGTTCACCGACTCCTCGCTGACGTACACGCCGAGCACAGTGTCGTCACGCGTGTCTGGGGCGCAGACTTTGAGCGCGCAGACTGGATAGGATCGACACGAGGTCGATTTGGTCAGGCCGACGGAGCCGCAGAAGACCAGCTCGAAGTCGTCCCTCAGCGTAGCCTTCAGCTTCGGCTTCAGCACGGCGGCGGCCTTGGGCTTGGGAGCCGCCTTGGCCTTCGCTGCTGGTGCCGTCGATGCTGTCCAGTCGGGCTCGATCTGCTCGAGGTAGCCGCTGATGCCCGCGGCGGCGTCGGCGAAGGCGAGCTCGAAGAGCTTCGACTTCACGAAGTGGCAGAACTGCGTGACCCACCACGCGGCCGGGAAGGTCCGCATCTGGAACGTAATCGTGCAGTCTGCCAGCTCAGCCGCCACAGCCGTACTGTCTGGGTCGGCCTGGCTCCATGGGTGCTACCACCGTGCTCGGCTCACCGTGTCCTCAAAATCCTCACCTCCTCTCCTCACCTCCCTACCTCTCCTCCTCTCCTCCTCTCCCCCTCCTCACCGCCGCACCTCCACCTCCTCCTCGTCCCCGCGCATGGTGCATATCCTCCTCATCATCCTCATCCGCATCTCCTCGCCGACCTCCACCTCGGACTCGCATTTATTATGCACATATATATAGATATAGATATACCTCCTCATTTTATCCTCCCTCCTACTCCTCCTCTCCTCCTCCCTCCACCTCCTGAATACTCCTATCCTATCCTCATCCTCCTCTCCCTCAGCCACCGCGGTGGGCCACCGCGGCGCCTTGCCCAGGTTGATGTGGCTGCCCGCCGCCAGGGCCATGGCCTTGTCGTCCATGTACCTGGCGAGGCGGGCCGGCGGCAGAGGTGCAGAAGGGGGGGGGCGAGGGCCGCGGGAGGGGATGGATGGGGATCCTGGAGGGGAGTGGGGGAGGAGGGGAGGAGAGGAGGAGAGGAGGAGGGGAGGTCGGAGGTGGGGAGGATGAGGAGGAGGAGAGGAGGAGGAGGAGGAGGACGAGGAGGAGGAGGAGGAGGAGGAGGAGGAGGAGGGAGGGGAGAGGAGGAGATGAGGAAGAGGAGGAGGTTGAGGATGAGGATGAGGATGAGGAGAGGAGGGGGAGAGAAGGAGTCAATGAGCCAAGGAGTCAAGGAGTCTCTTCTGAGAAGGAGGAGAGGGTGATGAGGAGATGAGGAGGTCCTGAGGAGGAGGAGTGGGGACGAAGATGAGGTGATGACGCTGACGAGGAGGAGGAGGAGGAGGAGAGGGGGCGAGGAGGAGAGGAGGAGACTGACGAGGAGAGGATGAGAGGAGGGGAGAGGAGAGGCAGGAAGACAGGAGGATTGGAGTATAAGAGGATGATGAGGAGGGACGCGGGGAGGAGGACGATGAGAGGAGGAGGGGAGGAGGAGGAGGAGGAGGAGGAGGAGGAGGAGGAGGGAAGGAGGGAAGGAGGAAGGAAGGAAGGTGGAGAGGCTCAGGAGGCTCTGAGAGGAGGGAGATAGGAGTAAAAGAGTCAAGGGGAGTAGGGGAGTAGACTAGGGGAGCAGTGGGAGGAGGTGCCAGGGGGTAGGAGTAGGATAGGAGGTTGGACCGCCGCTGGCACTCGTACACGCGTTTCAGCGTCGCCACCCGCTGGTACACCGACGCCCCGGTGTCGCCGTGAACCATGAGCTCGCCCTGGCCAGCCGCGCCGACGCCCTCCGCCTCCGCGGCAGGCGCGGCCGCGGCGGGGCCATCAGGGGCAGGGGGCCGGGTGGCCGACGACGCCGACACCGACCTCGAAGATGGGCTGCTGTCATCGACTAGCCTGCGCGACGCCCGGAGATCAGACAAGATCGCAATGGGCTCCTTGCCGTCGTAGACGCCGCACAGAAACTCCGTGTAGATCGCCACCCACTCGTCGTAGGAAACGTGCTGGTCCACGGCTCCCATGGTGTCGAGCGTGCCCAAGCGACTCGCCAATATGTCCAGGTCGATGTTGGTCGTCTTCTGAGCACCCCCAGCGTTAGCGGCGCCCGTATCAATGGACACATGGTGGAACATCTCCTGTACTTGAAGCACGTCTGCCAATATGTGTTGCGTGTGCACTGCCCTGATGCGCACGAACTTCGTCAACGTCGGCACGTCGTTGAAGTACTTGATGGCCGCGCCAGGCAGCTGGGACGTCTGGCGCACGGCTTTGAGGGAGAGCTGGCCGATGCCAAGCATGTCCTCCGGGATCTCCTTGATGAGCGCGTCCTTCACCAGGCCGAGGAGGTGCAAAATGAAAGCTGAGACCCTCCCTGGCGCAGAAGATGATGCGATGGCGGCGAGCTTATTCCCTTCAGTCATCCCGAGGAGCTGAAACATATCGCTGTTGACTCGCCTGTACGCGGCGTGCAGCTTGACAGTCACAGCTTGGTTGTTCGCACTCATGAACGCAGTGAGGGCGGCGCCGCCGGCTGCGATCGCTGACTCCAGCCGCATGAGGGTGGTGGTCTCGTCTGACGAAGCGGCCGATGATAGAGGCGCACTCTCGACGTCGTCGGCGTCGACGAAGTCGAGCTCCATCGTCTCCTCGCCCCCCCTGCCCAACTGGGCGTCGTGCGCCATGGAGGCCGCGACGTCGCGCACCTTGACCTTGAGCTCGGACCACTTTGTGTACTGCATTTTGCCCAGCGCCACCTGCTTCGACCAACAGAACTCCAACGCCACTGTCATCATGGCCCTGAATATCGGCTCCTTCTCCTCGTCACTGATCTCTGCATCTGACATGGCTGTGATGATGGCAATGGCAGCGTCGACCACCCAGATCTTCTGAAGCTCCAGGTTATCATGCGTCTCCACTGGCGCCTTGACGATAGCACCACCAGCCTTGAGCTTTTTGTTCGGCGGCTCTGGCGGCGAGTCGCTGCCCGCGGCGGCCGCCGCGGCCCGCGCCTTCTCCGCCGCTTCGGCCTGCTGCTTCGCCTCCTTCTCGGCGGCCTCCAGCGCCTTCCTGGCGTACAACTGCCCCTTCTTGTGCGACTGGCTATCCGACATGTCCGCCGAGAGCCACTTGCACATGTCCAGCTGCTGCGCGTCGAAGATCCACTTCTTGGGGCGGGGCAGACCCGCGGTGGGGACGAGGAATTCCAACGCAAGCTGCCAAATGACGGCGAGGGTCCCAGAGTCCAGAGCATCGCGGACTTCGACACTGAACAGCGCAACCGATACGGCATGGAGGTTGAAGACAGCCGTGGCATTGTTCATGCGCTCGTCCGTAAAGCGGCAGTGCTTCCCCAAGAACTCCTCCGTCCACTGGGTCAGCTTGTTGCGCTTCAACGTCCCGCAGAGCGCCTGGGCGGGGACCGGGGATCAGGGATCAGCAGTTCCGACTCCAAGCCCCCCCCCCCCTCACCTCCTCACCGTTCTCGAACCCTCGACCCCCTCATCACCTCATCGTCTCCTCGTCCTCCCCTCCTATGGACCCTCCGAACGCACCGCCCTCCCCTTGGGGGGGGAGGGGCGGGTCTCAGAGGGGCGGGCTGGCGGGGCAGGCGGGAGGAGCGGGAGGAGGCAGGCTCGGAGGCAGGGAGGTGGAGAGGTGGAGGTGGTGTGTATGCTGGAAGAAAGTTCGCAGACGGGGCGCGCCTTGCACGCCTTCAGCTCGTTCTCGCTGCCGAACTTATGGTCCTGCTTCTTCGGGTACTTGAACTGGAGGAACTCCCACAGGCTGTTGTACGGAGCCTCCGCCATCTTGGCCGCCTTGAAGTCCACGTTGAGCTTGCGGTAGAATCCGAAGTGCTGGAGGAGCGTGTATTTCGAGCCTCCGTGCCACTCGTTGTGCCAATCACGAAGCCAGTCGGTAACGTCATCCGGAGTGCGAGCGTGAAAGCAAGTGACGTTCGAAAGCCCCTTTTCCAAGCTCAGCTTGATCAGGATGTTCGACACCTCGCCATCGGCGCTGGAGGCCTTGTCCGCCTCCACCGCCTGGTAGAAGCCGCGCGACAGGGTGCCGTATGTGATCATCTGCAGAGGGTACTCGCCATCGGGGTGGAGCGTGCACCAAGGGTCCCCGCGCACGCCAGGGACGTGCCCATACTCTGCGACCTTCTCGGCATACTCTTGCACCACCTGGTCTTGGCGGCGCTCGTTGTTTGGATGCGGGAGCATGCTCTTCTCCCCGTTGACGTACCAGGGCACGGTGATGCCTCGCTTGCCCGGGATGGCGTACACGTTGAACACTGCATCTTGAAGCGCGATGCCTTTCAGCCCAGGGAATTGATGGTAGATGCTCTCGCGCGGCTGAAATATCGCACTGCTCGCGTTCATGGCGCTCAGCGTCTGCGGCTGCGGCACGATAGCCATAGCCCCGAGGTCGCTGCCGGCAGCGGGGCAGGGCGCCGGCGGCGGCGGGGCGCTGTCGGCGGCGGCGGCCGCCGCGGCCGCCGATGCCGCTGCCGCCGTGGCCGCCTGCTTGCGCCCCCTGCCGCGACCCCTGCCCGCCTGCGCCCGACCGCCCCTGCTGCCCTTCCCGCCTCGTGCGCCGCCAGAGGTGCCACTTGCGCCAAAAGACGGCGGGCCCCGGCCCCCCTGCGCCTCGGCGTCAGAGCCTGCGCTGGAGGTGTCCGACGGCATCTCTCTCGCCAAGCAACTGCTGCCGCGCTGTGGCCACGGGCGCGAGTGAGTGAGTAGACAGTGGACAGTGCACACGCACAGCAGCTCGGGCCGCCGAAAGGCTGCGGGGGAGGGGGGGGGATGGAGAGGCCTGAGGAGGAGGGGCATGTACGGTGTGGGCTCGAGATCGAATCGAGCTCGCTACGCTGCGTCGCTGAGGCTGAGGTCCCGACAGGCCCGACAGGTTCCGAAGTTCCCAACGAAGTCTTGAAAAAATGGGCGGATCTGGGGAGGAAGCGGGCGGAGGGGAGGAGGAGAGAAGAGGTGAGGAGAGGAGAGGAAATCGGAAAGGGGGGGGAGAAGGAACGGAGGGGAGAGTAGGTATGACCCTGAGGCAGGAGGTAGGTGCTGGGGCAAGGAGGCAAGGAGGGGGGGAGGGGAGGAGGGGATGAGCCCGGGGATGAGGGCGAGGACGTGGCGAGGAGCCTTGCCAGCCATGCCGACCTAGGGTCGAGGGCCGAGGAGTCCTCAGCCTCCGAGGAGGAGGCCTCAGGAGGGGGGGGGAGAGGGAGGAGGGGCCCTGGGGCGAGGAGGAAGCCGAGACGCCATCGCACACGCGACCGAAGACCGACGACCGACGACAACTGTGACAACGGCGGCGACGAGGCGACGACGACGACAGCGACGACGCGACGACGACGAGACGACGACGACGACGTGGATGCTGCGGCTGGTTTGCCTGGCACCGCCAGCGAGCGACTGCCAAACAGCGGAACTACTGAGCGGTTCTGCGGCCCCTCGGGCCCTCGGCGGAAGGGGGTTCAGAGATTTCGAGAGGACAGGAGGAG